TATAAATATTAACTTACGTATTATTAACAAACTGTTATTAAAATAAATAATGTATACCAAGTGGGTAACACAACTAAAATTTTATTTATTATAATTGACTCAAAATATTTGGGGGTTTGGTGGGGGTCAGTGGGGGCTATGAAATGCACCATCGATATCAAGAATCCCTTTCACAATGATAAGGTGGGACACCTCTTTTTAAATATTAATCACATCATGCAAATGGATTTAAAATATTCTGAGTATTGAATTTGTATTTGAATGCATACTATTTAAGTATAATAACAATTATAAAATTAAGATGCTTTTAATTATAAATGTTGTTTATAAATATTTACTTTAAACTTATTGTATTTATAAATATTTTAAGTCAATTATAATAAATAAAATTTTAGTTGTGTTACCCACTTGGTATACATTATTTATTTTAATAACAGTTTGTTAATAATACGTAAGTTAATATTTATATTATATTTATTAGTAATAAATTATTACTGAATCCTATACCTTCGCTGCACATAATATATTATATACTTTATCTTATACATTACAAATTTTTATCCCTTAACGTTATTACTGCATTTGAATATTGAATACTACTGTATAATATTATATTTCAACTGTCAGTAGATGAAGTCAGGGCTCCTTAAGAATACCATAGAGTAACCTGGCGAAATATTATTATATTTTATTATTAAAACAATACTAACTCAAAATATTAAATTATTATACCGTGTACAATTTTAATACTTTGTTGATTAGAATATTTTACAAAGTAATTATAAATATAAACCCAAATATTACCCATACAATATAACCCATACTACAGTCATCTGACCTTGAAAATAATCATTATTTAAATTGTACCGTATATAATTAATGTTTTTTATTAAGGTTAATTGTGTTAATAGCTATAAATATATTAATTTTAATATTCTACATAAATTAAACTATTATAAAATGGTCAAAATATTTAATCAAGTACATTGAACCATTAGAGGTACAGTATAATTCTAAAATATTTATTAATTAATTTTAGTTTAATGGGTTACATTATAAATATTTAAATCCATGAATTACTGAAAATAAATTTTAAAATAATTATAAAATAATTTCTATTTGATGTTTATATTATACAAAAATATTTATTTATTCACATGCTCAACAGAATATTACATTAAGATATTGTAAAACTCATTTACGTCATATTTAAACAAAATTGATTAATTTATATAATTTTATTTATTATTTAACCAGGTTTTAGCGATATTTTATTGTAAAGTTTTCTTGAATTAAAACTTACATTGTAAATTTCTAGCGCTAATATTTCAATGAGTACTACAGTAGTAATTAGAGTATTCAAGTTACTTATGAAAAGTTACTAATATCTGACTGGTAAGTTTAACTATCATTTTATAAATGTATTAATTGCATTGTATCTCAAAAATAACAGAAACTTTAAAATAATTACAAAGTTAAATAGAAATAAACAAAATAAATGAAATATATCAAGATTTTTTCGTATAAATATATTTTGGTAGTATTCATAAAGTTTATTATATTTTAAATGCAAATACACTAGTCTACTCAAAACATATTTAAAATTATTTATAATTGAAAATGAATGGCATTAATAATAATCAACGGAGCAGTCATTTTGCATGTAAAAAGTGGACTTTATTTACCCTGAGTGTGGTCTCCATGATAACCACTGTAATAGCCGTCGTATTCTATTGCATAGCCCTTACAGCAGTTGATACGCTGAGCTCTGAAATGAGCAAGAGCATATCATCGTCATCATCATCAGGGTCTTCCAGTTGGGATCAATCGCCAGTATCCGGATCATCAAACAGTCCATCGGTATCAGGATTTGGATCGGACTCAACCCCTAATCCTCATTCGTGGTCATGGACTGAGACAAGCTCTGAAGTCCACGTTAACGCATCGGTATGTGCTAGATGTCATTGTCATTATTATTATATTTAAATTATTATTAATAATTTATAATATCTATAATTTTGAAAATGACTAAACTTTTAAGTTTAATTTACTATTTTATAAAATTATTTATTTTTAAAAAGAAGTATTATAATTTATTTAATATTATAAATATTTTATTTTAAAATATTTTCTATACTGTTATACTTATTTTATCGTTAATAATTTAACTCTAAAATTATGAGTAGAAATATTTTTCTGAATCATTAATATTAAAATTTAAAAAATTAATCAAAGATTTTAATTTACTCTACAGGTTTTAATTCCAATAGTAATTGTAGCTGGTTTAATTGTATTGACCATACAATCTATAGGCGCAATAGGCGCTTATAAAGAGCACTACTGCCTGTCCATGACATACGCAATACTACTGACTATAAGCACCGTCAGTAACCTAGGTGTCTGTTTCAAAAATCCCAGCTACATTGGTGCCTTTATATTTGATTTAATCGTAACAATAGTTGCTTATTCATATGCCCATGATTGTCGCAAGCAAAATTTAAACCAATTTCCCATGACTACTATAACTATTCCAAATTCTATCTCTATTACATCCCTACCCCCTGGTCATTTAAATCCACCTTATGGTTATCCACAGCAAAGCACTATTAATAATTACGGCCACCATGGTGATTGGAAAGTACCACCCTCTGTATAAATTTTACTATGTCAAACAACCGTAGTGGGATAACATATTTGAAAAATGTATTAATTTTTAATGAGCACTATTTAAAAATGTTATTTATTCACTATGTAAAATTTTAACAATAAAAATTTGCAATACTTTTAATATTTATTTTAGTAGCAGATTATTTTATAATTTGATGAAACTTTATCAATTATCTGCAACATTTGTCTAAATAAATTTTAACAAAATACATTAAGTAACAATACATGTAAGAAATGTTTAGAATTTTATTAAAAATATATATTTGTGCACATTTAAACGAACATAAGCAATACTTTACTTTTGCAACAATTTTAAATAAAATAAATATATTTCTCAAATAAAGGACATAATTACCTAAGCGTTTTATAAATAAATTTTATTAATAGCAATCTGTTAAAATTATAATTTTAAGACAATAAATAATAATACAAATAATAATTAATTAATTGATAATTAAAATATTATATTTAAATATTTCCAGTAATAATCGTAAATAAAATTAATATAATGAAAGAAAGATTTATAAATAAATATTCAATGATAAACACAATTATTGCAAAGGGAATACCAATCATGTATGGTCCAGTAGCTATTTTCATAGAGTCTAAATTCATAGACGGACCTTGGTAATCATCAAAGTTTTCATCTGTATGGTTAAGCCGAGCCTTTCCAGTGCGCATATACTGCTGAATGCCTACGTTTACCCACATGTCGATAATACCCGCTTCAATCAGCCATTTAATGCTTTTTGGGATTTAATTATAATTAAGAATAAAAATCAATTTTAACACAATTTAAACTATCTAAATTACATTTAATAAAATAATTTCCAGAATTGTCTTAATTATTGTCTCAAATGATCTATTTATCTAAATATTCATTAAATATAATAATTACATTTTAGTGAATGTAATGCCAATGATATGCCCTTTTAAACGTTTATGAATGAGCCAACCATGACACCGATACCCAGCCTTTTGTTGCATTATATGAACCCGTTTACCCTTAACAGTGGCATTCGTACCCTTAACAGTGGCATACGTAGACAACAACGATATATGGCCATTCGTTCCCATAAGTACGTGCGTACGCCTGTCCCGTACGTCAGATATGATCTTAAATATATTGTCAAAAGTCACTGCATCCGAGTTAATGGTGCCAGGTCGAGTTAAAATACTTTGTTCAATAGGACTCGCAGTTTCCTTAAATTTGGTGTTGATCAATTACAAATTTTTAATGATAAAAATATTATAAATTCTTTTTACCAGTAGTTCTTTAAAATTGGTCCTTGGCAATTGTACGTAGACTTTCAAATAGGGTCTCATTTGCAATTCATCAAACGTGTCGATCATTTCGAATGGATTGAGTAAAGTAATCGACAAAATCATTTGATTGCAAACATTCTGTATGAGAAACTTAGCCAAAAATAAAATGCTAACAATTAGTATATATCTCTGAGTCCAAGTGGTGATTGTTATGCCTAAATAAAAAGTTAGAATACGCAAGGTAATTCTTTATAAATATTAACATCAATTATTCGATTTTTGAATTTTTATAGATTTTGTGCCAATTAGTGTTATATAAACTTGTAATTAAAAGAGTAAAAGTTTAAAGTTAAAATTGTAATGATAGGATAAAATTAAAATTAAGTTTATTGTAATACAAAACTAATTGTCACTGGTCATTTATACCGTCCATAATGTATGCATTAAGTGTTTTCCACATTTGCTCGCAAATACTATTCCATTTAGAAAATTTTAATGAATAAAAGAATATTATTTAAAAACTATTATGTAATAAATTTACTGATAATCTTGGTCATTGTTGTTGTTAATGGCTTCCAGCGACAATATTAGTGAACACAATAAATATGTTATGACCAGAAATGACCAAAACTATTTAACATGTTTAATAAACAATGTAATTAAAATAAAATATTATCAATAGAATATTCTAACAAGAAATTAGTTAATATTGAGCATAATTTATGAAAAAATGGTTATTAAAATTTTAACAAAATATAATTGTATTTGTCTAATTTATTAACATGCATTTTAAACTAGAAATTACCAAGATTATCATACAAAATATTAAATAAAATGTAATAGTTTACGTATATATCAAATATGCCAATGAAGGCATAGAGTGAGTTGGACAGGTTGGTCGGGTAATACCCTGACATAAAAACCATAATAGGGTTGTTCCGAAACACCAGTAAATCAGCAAATGAAGGCAACCAATGCTGGTATGATATGATGTCTAACCCAATGTCCGCTTTCTATATAAATATTAATAAAAACAATATGAATTAAAATGAATTTAAATAATTTTATAGATTAAAAACTAACTTTAGTGTAGATCATCTCAGTAGTTGGTTCAGTTTTAATAGCTTGGCCATTTAACAACAGTGAACTATTAGTGTGTTCATATCGCACTGGAATGGCGCTACAATATATAATATATTTGCATATATTATGCAATTTACTAAATATTCATATGAAATGCTTCATAATATAAATTCTATTAATTTTAAG